GCAGTAGCTGGAGCACTTGTCCCAGTGCTGGGCTTTTCAGTACAAGAGACAAGAACGTGGGTGAGAGCATCCAGTGTAGGCCACAGGGATGCTCAGGGATCTGCAGCATCTTTCTTATGAGGAGAGATTGAAGGAGCTGGGCCTGATTAGTTTAGAGAAGAGCAGACTGAGAGGGGATCTCATCAATGCAGATCAGTATCTCAAAGGTGGGTACCAAAACGATGGTGCCAGACTCTTTCCAGGGGTGCCCAGTGACAGGATGAGAAGCAATGGCCATAAACTAAAACACAAGTTTCACCTCAACATGAGAAAAAACTTCTTTCTGTTGCGGGTGGCAGAGCACTGGAACAGGCTGTCCAGGGGAGGTTGTGCAGTCTCTCTTTCTGGAGACATCTCAAACCTGCCTGGACACATTCCTGTGTGACCTGCTCTGGGTGACCCTGCCTTGGCAGAGGGTTGGACTGAATGATCTCCAGAGGTCCCTCCCAACACCAATGATTCTCTGATTCTGTGGTTCTCAGCCTGTCTCCACACAGGAGGTGCTCCAGCCCCTGATCATCCTCATGGCCTCCTCTGGACTTGCTCCAGCAGCTCCATGTCCTTCTTATGTTGAGGACACCAGAACTGCACACACTGCTCCAAGTGGGTCTCATGAGAGCAGAGTAGAGGGGCAGGATCACCTCCTTTGACCTGCTGGTCACACTTCTTTTGATCATCAGTGATCTATAATGGGGAATAAACCTTCCCCTCAATCTGCTGGCTGACAACCTGCTATTTAAACATTAATTAGTCTCCTTAAATGGGTATCCAAGGAGGAAAGGTCAGAGAAATGAGATGTTGGAACTCGGCAGGCAGGGGAGGTGTGAAACTGTGAGGGTGGCCCTTTGTCAGCAAGGAGAAGTTTGCAATCTATTGCTCTGATACTGATAGAAAGGGATGAGGAAGGGACAAGGATCATTATGGTTAGGTCAAACAGCAGGAGAATTTACACCTCCGAGGCCAAGATGGCTTCAGCTGCAGCAATGCCTCCGTCCAGGCAAGCTGCTCTACATGCCATGGTCAGCTTAGATGGGAGAAAGAGACAATTTCCCACCCTGAGAAGCCCAAACAGCTCTGACCACTGCTGGCTGATGCCAGCAATGTGCTGGGGTTCCCTGGGGTGGCATGTGCTGGGGCACAGCCTCGCATGGAGTTGCCTAAGTGCACAGTCTGCACGTTGTAGATAGATGCAGCGTCACTGATCGCAGCTTCCGTGATGGCTGCACCCTGCGCCCTTGCCATGTCCAAACTCGTCTATCCTGAAGTGGAAGAGTCCAAGTTCAAGGGCAAAGCAAGCATCCGCCTCCCCAGGGGGTGAGTGTGAGGATGGTGGAGTGGGGCTGCATGCATCCTGCCAGTGTGGGAAAGCCATGGGGGCAACTGGTGGGGACAAGTGAACATTCTGGGTGGCCTGAGGCTGGGAGAGCCTGTGGTGTGCAGACATCCACAGACTAGGAGATGACTTTGCACAGAGACTGCTTTGCCACATGAGCCCATTGGGGTTTTTTTCCACACAGAGAAGAGCAGAACATCCTGGAAGCTGCAAGCAATGGGGCTGCAGCCTCTGTAGGGCTCATAGCCAACATTGCAGCCAACCTCATTGCCTTCTTGGCGGTCCTGGAGTTCATCAATGCTGCCCTGCGCTGGTTTGGGGAGATGGTAGACATCGAAGGGCTCTCCTTCCAGGTATCCCCAAGATGCAGCCCCATCATCTGGGCTACCAGATCCTACATCCCTCACCCATCCCTACCTTTGCCTCAGTAGGCTGCTGAGACCCTTGTTGGGTGTTTGGCAAATGCTGACAGCAGGTGTCTGCCCAGGCCTTGGTCTGTGCAGGTGGTCAGCTCTGAGTTGCTCCCTTCTGGGATCCTTTTCCCAGGTTATCTGCTCCTATGTCCTCATGCCTGTGGCCTTTCTTATGGGTGCAGACTGGGCAGACTCACCGCTGGTGGCTGAGCTCTTGGGGATGAAGATCTTCCTGAATGAGTTTGTGGCATACCAGCAGCTGGCCACATACAAAAAAAACCGTCTGTCGGGTCTGGAGGAGTGGGATAGGAGCCGGAAGCAGTGGATATCTGTAAGAGGCACCTGCCACCCTGCCAGGCACAGGGCAGGATGGAACCAGATGAAATGGGGCATGGGACATCGCTGGTCAGCTAGGAGGATGACTCTGTTGGGGTGGGAGGGCACCTATGGCCAACTAGGTGTGGATGTTCACTGCCTGCTGGGTATGGGGTCATCCTAAGGAGTCAGTGAAACTCTTTCCAATTTATCCTTCTTCTTGGTGGGGCAGATCATGGTTCCAGAGGGCCTCCTGTTCCCCTAGCCCAGCCTCTCCCAGGGGTGGAATGCCTAACATCTGCGTTCTTGCTCCCAAAATTAGCTGAAGGAGAAAGGATTGGAGTGGGGGACTTACCTCCATCATGTCTGTCTGGGTTGGGAACTATGACAGCTCTGGGGTTGCTCCTGGGTGGAGATGACTATTCCCTGCTGCTGTGTCCTCCAGGAGCGAGCTGAGAGCATCGCCACCTTTGCGCTCTGCGGATTTTCCAACTTCAGCTCCATTGGGATCATGCTTGGAGGTTTGGGTGAGTGTGATCCACATCCTGGGTGCCTAGCAATGATGCAAGGCAATCCTAGGACCAAGGACTCAACCAGGGCAGAAGGAATTTGCTGTCCTCAACCCTCCATGTTCAGTCTTTGCCAGCACACAGATAAGAAACAGGATTTGCATGAGGTGATTAGGGATGATATTGTACTGCACCTATGGGCAAAAGCACACGCATGTCCCACAAGCCCAGGTGCCACCCAGCCACGTGACAAAGAGCAGAGACTCCAGTGCTGAGAGCACCAAGCGTTCTAGTTGATCACCCATGTGTGCAGCATGGGCACAGTGCAGTGTGCTGGGTGCTGGCTGGGATTGCCGTGTTACCCAGACACTAGCGGTTAGAGTGGGCAGGGCGCTATGTGACAGAGCCAGCTGGGGACCTAGGACACATCCCCATCTTTTCCCAGCCCAGGGTGGAGCCAGAGCAAGAACTTGACTCACCCGTCTCTGCTTTGACCCTGCAGCCTCCATGGTTCCCCAGCGCAAGGGTGACTTGGCGTCCATTGTGCTGCGAGCCCTACTCACTGGCACGTGTGTCTCAATGCTCAATGCCTGCCTGGCAGGTAAGTCCCTGCCCACTGCCAGCGGGCCAGAATGAACTGGGGACAGGCAAAGACCTATAAATGCAGGTGCAGGCATGCATGTCCTCCCAATGGCTCTGCCAGGGCCTCCAAACCCTCTGCTCCCTCCACATGGCTTTGCCAGGGGCTGCCCAGCAGCTCTGCTGGGGCCTTTCATCCTCATCTGGGCTGGGAACATTTCAAGGACAGCTTCTGGGGCACTGCAAGTTGTTCCCTGGGATCACTGCCACAACAGTCTTGGGGGTGAGGTGGGAGAGTGCATGGGACCTGCAAGCACAGTCCCAGGTACAGGATTTACAAGCAAGCATAGGGTCAGGGTATGGGACTGGAGAGCAGGGTCAGGGTGTGGGATTTGCATGCATGGTTGCTCAAGAGCCCCAGACAGAAGACTTTGTCCCCCAGGCCTCCTTCATGTGCCAATGGAAGTGGGTGACTGCGTGACCTTCCTCAGCACTGCCAACTTTAGCTCTACCAGCTACACCATGTATACCTGCTGCAAGCAGCTCTTTGCCAGGTGGGTGTGAAGTGCCCCAGAGCTGTACACTCCTGCCCAGGGACCCAGGCAGTGGCCAGCAGCTCGTCCTGACCATGCTTCTCTCCTTCCAGCTCAATGCTCGACAACGGGACACTCTCCTTCACGGGAGCCTGGGCCGGCCTGGCAGAGGGCGTGCAGTGCCTGACACAGTGCTGTGGGCACTACAACCACACTACCTGCGAGGGGACAACCTAGAAATATGCAAGCATGGCCTGGAAACACCAGCATCTGCAAAGTCTGGCCCCAAGGCTAAGAAGTGCCCCAACAGAAACCTGCAAGTTCAGTCCCCCCTGCTCCAGTGATGATAGACAGCTGTGTGCACCCTGCAACCAGCACAAGGGAACTGCTCCCAAATAAATCATGAAAATCCCCATGTACTTGCCTTCAACCCCACTCTGGCCCTTTACCATGGCTGTCCCACACAGCACGAGGTGCTTTGCTCAGGCTGCACCCTGTGACCGCCACAGCCAGCTTTTGCTGCAGCCCTCAGAAGCTGAGCCTCTGCCATGTTCCACCTCAGCTTTAGAATCTGGCCGAGACACCCTCTTCTCTCCTGCAGGGTGAGGATGAGATCAGAAACCATTACTTGAAGACATTTTCTTCCCCCGAGCACAAAGCCACCCTATCCTGCTGTGCTTGGGTGCATCTCTTCCACAGGGACCACAGCACCAGGCAACAGGCTAGTCCTCACTTTATTGCACTCAAGAGCACCCATTCGCCAATGCAGCCTTGTTATGTACATCATTAGTTTACAATGACCCCACAACAAAGCACCAGGACCCCAGAGCATACCACACTCCCAAGCCCAGTCCATTCTGGACAAGCTTCTCCACCAAGCTGAACAGAGCCACCCTTCTGGGCACCACTGTGCCGGGTGGCACTGCTGGCACCCAGCACCCTCCTCCAAAGCTCCAGGGAAGGTGATGCTCTTCAGCAAGATAAAGCAGGCAGCTCTGGGGCTCTCTGCAAGCCTTGCTGCCCACTGCCACGCTCTGCTGGCTGCTGCACGCCTGAGCGAGCTGGTGGGCACAAGGGAGGCTTGATGTGATGCAGGGTGCTTTACTTTCCAGCATGAGCACCACTGCCTGTCCATCACTGCCTCCTGACGCAGGGCAGTGGGACCTGGAACGAGTGCTGCTAGCTGCCACTGGGATAAGGCATGTGCCAAGCAGGGGTGATGCCAAACGAGCATGACCAGGTTGTGCGATGGAGCTGAGCAGGGTGTATGGGGTCTGCATACGGTGGGTGGGCAAGGAGGGGTGAGTCCTATAGGCTGGATACCCTCATATACCTGGCATGGATGCGAGGTGCCACCTTTGCCCTGCTCCTTGGTGCCCCATGTGAGGTAGAGCAACATTACTTTGGTGCTGGGCAGCACCTGTAGCAGCACTGCTGCCCCCAGCATCCGGCCAGCAAGGGGGTGGAAGGCTGACCCCAGGGTCTAGGGGATTCAAAATCCCATCCCCGTGAGCTGCCAGTACTGATGCCAGTGCCCGGCCATGGGCCTGGACCCCAGAGTCCCACACAATGCCAGCAGGAGCCCTACAGGTCACACTAAACCCCTCCACAGCAAAACCTTGGAAATCAAAGCAAGCCAGGACAAATGAGACTGCCTGGGTGCTGCTGGGCTTCACATCCTTCACACAGAGCGCTTGCAGGGCTTGGCCGGGTCACTTTATGGAGGACACAAACAGGGACATGAGGTGCTGGGAACCAGGAGGGCAGCCCAGACTCCCAGTTTGCTCAGGGGAGTCAGGCAGGGGGCACGGCGCTTGCAAAGCCCAAGGGAGCAGGTGTGAGTCCCTGCCTTAAGGCAGGGAAACAGAAAGAGTGGGGACAGGAACGTGAGCCTGAGCATGGAGGGGCTCCACCACCACCGGCAGCTCTTATGAAGAGGTATTGGTGACAGGTCCACGCTGCCCACGGCTCACATTCTCCCCATGACTCCCACTAGTACACACCACATGATGCAAGCGCTGCGGGCCAGGGTAGGAGCCAAAGGGAGAAGAGTGGTGGCAGTGGCCACTGCCAGGGTCTCCCCTTCCCAACCTGGCTGCGTGCTGCCTCCAGGCTGTTTGGATGGGGTCCAGAGCAGAAGGTCCCAGCTACAGCAGTGCTGGCTACTGTGGGCAGCCAGACCTGCTGCTCTCTCCTGACTTGGGTTTGGAGGCTGCTGGGATCTCCCCTGTTTCTGCTGCTCTCCGAGAGCTCTTGGGGCTCACAGCAGCCTTGCGCGTACCCTGGGGACTTGCCAGCCCCTTCTTCTGGAGCTGGGGACTGGACTGGGCAGATTTCCTACCCATGGAAGGGCTCTTGGAGCCCTTGGGCTTGGCTGGCTCCAGCGTCTTCAGGCCGAGGATGCTGCAGTAGTGGTTACACTGGTGAGCGGTCGTGAATTGCTCCAGTAGGGAGGGGAAGCAACTTTCCTTCAGCCCCTGGTACCTGCCAACACAGCCATCCTCAGCCCCTGCTTCACACCAGGAGATGTCCCACTAGAGCAGGGAGCCCAGGACGGAGCCTGGCTGCACTCACCACCACCATGGCCCTTTGCCACATGAGCAGTGGGAGCTGGGAACAGCTTGGGGAGACACTTACCCTTTCAGGTTGGTAGCAATCCGCACATTGGTCACCTTCCAGCCCACTCCTGCAATGAAAGGGAGGACAACCAGTGTCTCTCTGAGAAGAACAGGCACTGGCACCAAGGGCAGGTTACTGCCCTGGGAGCTGGGCTCCATGGCATATGGGGAAAAAGGCATGAGGGCAAGGCTGGGGCTTTTCCTCCTCCTTTCACAGGCCAGAGGGTAGTGAGGGGTCACGGAAATCAGATGGCAGATCCCTTTACCTTCCATGTCAGTCACAAGGATGTTTCCATTTGTCCACTGATAGACCCAATGCTGGAAGGTGCAGCATTTGAGCACAATCTCTGAAACGCCTCGTGCCACCAAGCTGCCATCTCTCTCAGTGACACAGTACTGCTCACAGGGTACACCAAGGTCCTCCTCCATCGTGGCATAAGGGATGTTGTTGGCTGGTCGGTAAACCAGGTACAGAGGAATTATCCTGCATGGGAGCACAAACGCAGGTTCAACATCAGCTGCACTCTCACTGCAGCAACTGGAGATTCACACTGTGGTCTGCAACTCTGGTTTTTGCCTTCCCCCAACACCCCTTAAGTCTGAGGGTGGGAGAAGAACATGCTGCCTTTTGGGATGTCCCCAGCACCCACAGGTAACCCTTTTACCATTCCCCGGCATGCTCTGCCAGGATGTGAAGCCAATGAAGCTGCAGGACTTACTCAGGCACTGCTCCAAAATCAGGGACAGCTCGTGCCTCAGCAGCAAAGATCTTGCAGTACTCGCGGCTGGAGTTCTGGATTTTACATTCCTGGAGATGAAACAGAAGAGTCAGAGACCTGTCCTGTCATGCCCCAATGAGTCCCAGGGATCCCCTGCCTGGCCAGACATCCCCTGGGAGCACTGCCAGCTGTTTCCCTGCCCTGGTGGTCAAAGGACAAGTGACAGGGAAAGCTCTGAGCAGCTCTGTGTTCAGAGAGAAGAGCTGAAGCCAAGAATAACAAGGACATTGCCAGCCTACTGGAATGTGGCTCAACCCCTCCAGAGCACTCAGAATGGGGACAGCAATAAAGAAAGTGGGCACAGAGCTGGGGACTGTGGCACAGACAGGGAAGGTGTGGGGGAGACAGGGGGAGGGTAGCCCATAAGGATGCCCACCTGGATGGTGATATCATAGTTCTTCTCGATCAGACTGTTCTCATTCTTGGTCCCAAAGACAATGAAATTGTGTACTTTGATGACACACGTGCGGCCAGACTCAAAGATGGGCTCCAGGCCGTAGATGGCTCTGGCCCGGCAGGCTTTGTGCAGGAAACCAGCACCCACTTCCGCATCCTCGCTCACTACGCGCCCGAAGAGCTTATCTCCCCAGTAGCCTGCGTCAGCCAGACCCTTCGCAAATACCATGGGCGTCATCTCAATCTCCTCACCAACTGGCAGAGGGAAGAGCTGGTGAGGGAGGACAACGTGGACACAACCTGCCCTCGCCACAGAGCTGCCGCCCCTTGCACAGCAAGGGGCAGCGCTTGCAGCATGTCAGCACACAGCTCTTACCTTCGATCTCTTCCCGCAAGATAAATCCTGACAGCACTAGATGGGACAGAAAGCAGAGAGGTGTCAAGGTCCTACCAGGATCCCACCCTGCCTCATGCACTTCCACACCAAGGGACAGCAAGGAAGATGGTAGCACATGGAGGCAGATGCACCTTGCAAAGGTGGTGTTACGGGGTGTGCAAGGTTCCCCCCCACCACAGGCCTGGCACCAAGCTCTCTGCATGGTTCGCCACACTGCCCCGCAGCACAGCTGGGGAAGCTGGGAGGCTGCTGGGGGCTTCTCACCTTCTCCGCTGAGCAGGAAATCAGTGGAGTCAGTGCCATACTCATTGCTGATCACACATCGGTAGACCCCGCAGTCCTTCTGGGATGCCTGCACAAGAGCCAAGGCTGCCTGGCTCTCGTCACCAGCGCTGGAAGAAACCAGACCATGGCCTCAGCCCTGTGTGACACGTGGGGGGCACATGGGAGCCACGTGACAGGCACTGAGGGTGGGCACTGTGCTGACCTTAGAGGGCTGGAAGAGGGCTACAAAGAAAGCCAGCCCAAGGGCATCCCAGCTCCTCTCCTGGCACCTCATGGTACCAGGAGTCCTGCTCTGCAGTTTGTACTCACAGAGATGCTCATCTTCCAGGTGAGCCTTGCAAAATCTGGTCAGGATTGGGCTACAGACAGACAAATGTACTTTCTCCTGAGTGTGGCTAGGTCAGGGCTGTGCTTGGGCTAAGAGACTCACATTTGGATGGATGGATGGAAGCCAAACAACTACAGAGGTGTCCAGCTTCATTTTCAGCTGTTCATGAGCGAAGGCAGACATCACTCACCATCCTGAAGCTTGCCCCTCTCCAGGGGACTGGCAAAGCATGAGCTCTGTGATCTTCTCCAGCCTGTAGCACCAAGCTTTGGGCTGGCAGTTCCTCTAGCCAAGGTGGCACACTAGGCAGATGGGTCTCCAAAAGAACCAAAGGCCCGTTTCTGCCCCACATGGCCGCCATGAACCAGCAAAGGTCTGACAGGCTGCAGGGGAAAGAGGTGGGACCTGAGACCCACTGGCTGAGCAGGCTCTGCTCTGGTCAGCTAGAAGGCAATGGCTACTCCAGGTCCATCTGCCCCACCTCAGATATCTGCTGTAGGAGATTGGTTATGCCTCAGAAGTACCTCTTCCTGCCTGCTTATTACAAAGGGAGCTCAAGGGATGCTCAAAGGCATCAGGCAAACCTGATCCTACTCAACTAAGCTCCCTTGGGCTTGAGAACAAGTTGCTCTCCATCATGCACCCAAAGGAGCACCCATGACACACCAAGCCACCCAACTGCCCAAACATGCTCTCCCTGTGCAAGGGCAGTGCCCTGGGATAGAGGGGGCACAGCCAGAGGTGCTTTTTTCCTGTTGGCGCTTGCCAGTGGCAGTTACACGGAAGCCCCTGCGCCTTGGATGCAGTGTGCACACCCTCCAGTACAGCTGCAACCCTCACATGTATCATGTGGGGTTCCAGTTTTGCAGCTCACACCCAGCTCTCAAATTCTGAGATGGGCACAGTACCTTCCCTCCCCTCCCTGAGGTTCAGGTTCAGCCCCTGCCCTCCCTAGGGCTCTGCTACTCAAAGCATCAGCCCTTAAGCCAGGCTCCAGATGGAGCATCAATACGACAAATTTAGCAGCAATTCCCCATCTGGGCAATCCCTCCCTCCCTGGGCACTGAGAATAAAGCTTGCAACATACCATGCCATGCAATGAGCTGCCCATGCAGCCTCAACAGAAGGGGCACTTTCATCCCAGTAAATGCAAGGAGCTGGATTTAACACATAAACCCAGGGCTATGCACAAGGACTACAACAAAGCAGAGCTGGTAGATTACCTCCTTTGTGCTTCTGCTACAGGGATCTCATTCTTGTACCACATCAGCTTAGAATCACTCAAAATATTGAAGAACTGGCACCAAAGTTTCAGGTTTCCTGATGCATCAGAAAATTGTTCTGCCCTGATCTTACGAATCACCTGTGGAGCTAAGGACAGGGTGCAAAGAGATTGATGGTGAGACACACACTGCTGGCTGCAGCTCCAGAGACAGGCCAGCCTACCTGGTGCTGCTGCCTAGGACTTTGGTGTTGGATATCACACATATGTCAGCACAGCCTGGTATAACATCGCCTTCTCAGGGAAGGTCTCATGGTCTGCATGGCTGGAGGTGATGCAGAAAAACACTGTGCAATGTTGGAGGAAACATTTATTTACTGAAGTAGGGATTTATCAAGGTTACCCTTACTTTTGCAAGAATGCTGATTCCTGTGAGGGTATCAACGGGCTCTTGCAAGCACTTCAACACCAGGATTATGCCTTTTCTAATTCAATGCCATAAGGAATCAAATAAGCATTCACCATGGAGGTGGAAAAGAGCGTGCACCCCACTAATGCCCACTGGACCCCCAACCAGCATGAGGCACAGTGAGGACCAGAACACAAAGGCCAAGAACAACAGGATTATATGATTCCTTTGGCCAGGGAAGTTCAGGCAGCAGAAATAGCCAGTCTCAGTGCTGCTGCCACTTGCATTCCTCTGCCCTCCCTGCACTAGGGAAGAAGTCTTGGGGCAGAATTTGGCTTTCACATTGCCAAAGAGTGATGCTGAAAACCCTGCAAATGCACAAAATTCATGTGGCCCCAGCTGACTATCACTGGTTCAGCTGGCCAGGCTCCCTTTGTAGGCAACAAGGAAACATGCTCCATGGGGATTACCTCTTCCCTTACCTTTAAAGGGGTTATTTGCTTTCTTGGACTCTGCTGGCTGTGCTTCTGGCTTAGCATCTTCAGGGACCTCATGGTCAGTACTGCTGTCACCTGTGGGCTCCTCATACAGCTTAGGAACCTCCAACGTCGCCATCTTCCTCGTGAGGGTTGGTGAGCACTGCTCTGCAGGAGGGCACAGAGCCAGGGCAGGCGATGGCAACGGGGCCATGTTCTTCCTGCACTGCCGTGGTGAAACGTTTGGACTTCTCATGTGGCCTGGGCTCTCGGTGGTTGCCTCCTCTTCCTCCCCAGCCTGCTTGTTTTTTGGCAGGTATATTTTGCGCCGGGCTCCGGAAGCCAGCTCCTCTGGCGTGGCACAAGGTAGAACTGCCAGAGGGCCACCAGCACTCTCTTTTTCAGGGCTTGCTGCAGGCAAATTTGGAATCTCACTAGGAGGCTGCCCCACTCCTGTAGCTGGGATGCTGCCCACCACGATGGAGGGCACAGAGAGCTGGGGTGGCCCCTCTCCTTCGGCAGCGACCCGGGTACGTCTCTTTGGTGGCACAGGCCTGCAAGCCAGCATCTCCTTGCTGGTAATGAATTCCTCATTAATCATGCCTGTGATCCGCCTGGACGTCCTGGGAGTCAGAGGCAAGTTCTCTGCTGTTTGGAAGAGCTGATTGTTTTGTACCTTTTCCAAAACTCTCCTTGAGGTGCGGGGGCTCAGGCCTGCAATGCCTATTTCTGGGAGCATGAATTCCTTTGCATTGGGCTGCTCCCTGTCACTGGTGTCAGTGTCTTCTTTCATGGCATCCTTACTGCTATCTGACATTTTTAAAAGCAGCAGCAGATAGTTCTTCAAGGAGGAAACAAGGTTTTTGTGCTGCATCTTCTCCTCCAAAGACATCTCCTGCTGTCTTTCAGGGCTAGGCAGGACCAGCGGTACTTGTGGCTGAACCTCAGCACCTCCATCAAAAGTGCCTGAAGGTGCTGCCAGCTCATGGTGCAGACCTGTCGCTGTTTGCTCTCCTCTTTCCTTCCCCTGGGGTCCCACAGGCACTGATTTGGCACTATCCTCCCCTAACATACTGGCTGAAAACTTCTCTTGTGAGGCAGATCCATCTGCTTTTCTGATTTCTATTTCTCTGCTCACAGGAGGCAGCAGCTGGGCTCCAGATTGAACCTCTCCTGCTGTGGTCTTCATCCCTGGGGCACCATGAGCTGCAAGCAGTGCCTCCTGCACCACTGATGTTCCTGCTGCAGGAGCAGGGAGTGTCTCTTCTGTGGCAAACTGAACTGAATCCGGAGCTGGACATTCAGTCTGCAGATATCCTAAATGTGTCCCTTCCACCTCTGGGTGCACAGCCCCAGGAGATGGCTCTGCTGCACCTCTCCTTCCTGCCTTTGCACTGTGATGGCTCCCAGATAGCTCCATTCCTGCCTCTTCACTCTTCCCATCCTTGATTGATGTCTGATGTGTGATTTGCTCAAGAGGAGTGTTTTCTATGGGCTCTGAAGGACTCAGTTTCTTTAGTAATGGCTTTTCCTCACCTTGGCTTTTGTCCTCTTGATTTAACAGTGCTGGTGGGGTCTCTCTGCCCTCACGAGCAAGGGAATGTTCTTCTGTCTGTTTCCTAGAGGCAGGTTGCTCCTTGCTGGATTGTATGTGGTCTGGAGAAGGTGCTCGTGGCTTTGGTGGTTCCTGTGGCCTCAGCCGAGGATTTGTCCTTTTCCCAGATTCCCCGGTCTCCCGGCAGAGAGGTATCTCTTTCCTGAGCTCCTCTAACTTACTGGCTTGCTGACCAGCCTCTGTGGTTGAAGCAGACACTGGATGTTTTAGGTCACAAGCAGACTGTCCCACTGCTGCTGCAATCTAATCAAAGAAAAGAAAATAGAAAATTAGCGCTATTTTACTGCCTGGGTCTGCTCAGTGGTGCTTGTGGTCCAACTGGACCAGACAGCACTGCCCAACTTGTGCTTGAACTACAAGTATTAACCTGGTACCGCTGATACTCATCCAGGGTCTCTTGGTTTCACCATCATCCCATGGTAGTGGGTCGCACAGTTCCCTGTCATGCTGCACAAAACGTCTTTTAATCAGTTCCAACTCTTCTGCCTTTCAGTGCCTTGGTTGTGCACACACAGGCAGAAAATTGTCTCTCTAAAACATTCAGTGGGTTTTTATTCATAGAATCATAGAATAGTTCTCCAGATGAGAACCATTCCCTCTCCTCTGACACAGCACCTGCCTAAGAAGCAAAACTTTCACATTTCCACCAGCTATTGCCGAGACCTTTTATAATTTCCTTGCTCTTTTTTCAGATTCAGTGTTCCCCCTATACTATATCTGCAGTCTCCATGCTGAGACAGGGCAATCAGCAGATCACACACTATCTGGATGAGGCTGCCCAAATGATTTATAGTGAAACTGTACACCATGACGTTATCTGCACTATTCAACCATCTTGTTTCTTTGACATTTGGGAAGCTCAAATGTTTCCAACTGCAGCTCATGCCAGCAGACGTTTCAGCAAGCTGTGACAGATGAGCTTTATCCCGAGGAAATCTGACAAAATCCTCCAGCCAAGGGGCACTATCTATTCTTGCAGGATAAGGATCAGGAAAGCAGTGATACATACTGCTGACAAATGCTGCGCTCAGCTGATGCTCAGCTAACAACATGAAGACAATTACATGGGATCGGGGCATGCACATGACAGGTTACCCACCCATCCCAGATAATCTGCTCCTAAGGATTTTCTCACTGAGGTCTCTGACTTGAGGTTTAAGGCTCCAAGATTAGGTCCATAGCAAAGGAGGGCTGTGGCACTCTAGCCCTTCTATTTAGCACTCCTTTGGCTTCGTTTGAAAGCTTGGAAAAAACAGCTAATGCTGGTCTCTCAGTAAACCCTTCCCCAAGCAACTGTTAGGGCAATGTGAATATCATATGGGGTGGGAGGAGCAGCATTAGGGAGGCCATTCCTCCACTCATTATTCAAGTCTGTTCCTTGGTAGTCTCCAAAGGATACCAAAGGCCAGCCAGTTTCTGTTTCAAGGAGTGCAGAACCAGGGTTCCAGCTCACAGGGTTGCATAGCGCCCCCAAATGCCACACATCCCTCCTGCTGTCCCCTTAGACGTATATCCCTCACCTGCTTCAATGGGCTGAGTGTCACAACACTGAGTATCCCAGTGCTCAGGCTTAAAAGGTTTTATTTTAAGAGACGGGCAGGTTTCATGCAGTGCAACCCCGCTAGGTTTTGTCACAGTATTTGGTTCTCTGAGGTGCAGAAAGTGAGGGGAACGGACACAGCCCATCTAACTGCAGGGCCAGCAGTGGTCCCTGTGGTCAGGGGGCTGAGTAGCATAGTGCCCTGGGGCTGGAGGTGGACTAGGTTCACAGATGTGATGCACAGAGGTGGCTCTGCACGATGCTGGTCAATGGGGATATCTCTTTGGTTGAAGAAGATTTGGGGAAATTTGCTTATCATGAACTAAAGCTTATTCAGAAAAGCTTTCTGGGAGCTTAAGTGATCAGAAACCACTCAAACTAGGGGCATATAAAAGAAATATAATAAAATCATCAGTTTAAAAGTTAGGCAAGAGTGATCATTATGCAAATCTAGCTTCTCTGCTCTTGTGTGTGAGGCTGTTCAGAGCCTGGCTACAGTCTGGGATTTTGCAAAGCCTTTCTGCTATGGACAATTGCAGCTCAAGAGAAGTCCTGAGCATGGTCACAAGGCCAGGAAAAAACTCATGTTAGGACCCTGTCTTGTTTAAGGGAAGATTAAAAAGAGAGAGACAAGCAACCGTGTCCTGGTGAGTGAAAACATCCTCAAATATGTCTGGAATCAGCTTTAAAGGGCTTTAAAATAGCTTATCTGGTCACATAAAAGCTTGAGCACTTTTCCCAGCATCACCAACTAGCTGAAGCATTCAAATTCAAATCAAAAGCATTCCCTTTTGTCTACTCAAAAGCACACCAGCTGACAAGCTACAGGTTACCCTCTGAGTGGGTGTTTGAAGAGGAAAACACCTTGATGCATGCCAAAGGCTCAGAGATGACAGCCCAAGCCTGGCTGCTACACACCAACACTTTCCTCCCTCCTTACGAGCAAAGGGTGTAAAAATGAGCAGAGAGGGAGAAAACAATTAGCTTTGCCATGGGCTCACATGCACAGCAATAATTTCTGCAGCAGTATGTGATGCTGATGGGCCAGGTTAAATATGCATTCAGGGTGCTGCCTTGTAGCAAGGCCAGGACACAGATGTTCAATGCGTAACACAGCAGTTTTCTTACCACTTAGCACTGCTCCTACCTATGTCTAAAGAAATCTAAAAGAGGAAAAAGGGTTATTTTTTTTTTAGTGGAGCACCCAGCAATCCCACTTTCTGTATTGTGGATGTTTCCATATCCCATAGTATTCACATTACCTACCGAGGGAGATGTGCTGCACCCAGAGAGCCTCCTCTGGTAGTCTTGGTCTGTACTGAAAGCGTGCACCTACCATAGCTCGAATGCTGAACCCTGATGGCACCTGCAAATTGGACTTGGAGAACCTTTTACCACAGAAAGGGTCATTGAAAGAAAAGGGATCTAGAGATAGAAATAGATATATATAAAAGACTGGTAACTTCCAGTATAATATTTTCATGGAAAATGCTTCAGGTTAAATGACTAAAATAGAAGTTGACTAAAAGATGCAGTGAGGGTCAGGAGCAGGTGCTGTGCCCTGTAACTGCATCAACACCACAATGAGTCTTGCAACAGAGTTTTTCCACCAGGGAAGAGCCAAAAAATAGTCCAGATCTACTGTATATGTGTTGCAGCGTAAACAGAACCCAGTGCCCTGCCCAGCACGGCTCACATGGCAGGCCTGGCACACTGCGCTCATCTGCATGGGGCTCATTAAACACCAGCCAAAGCTCAGACTCAATTGCTAAACTGAACAGATGTCATCAGTCTCTCTGCTTGTCATAAGCACGAGGCATCCACTCCCAGCTATAAATAGCCATTCAGTGCTCTCTGCTTAACTGATTTGGAAACATTTCGTGTGAGGTCAGCCTGCCGACTAAACAGGAGAGCTCACAGCATGCCCCGGGCCATTCGGAGACCAGCTGCTTGGACAGAGTGCCCTGATGTACACCTCACCACCTTGTCTGACATTTATTCAGAGATGGGGTGGAAGCTCTGCTGTTCGGGCACACGAAGTCCAGGAAGCCCTTTTTCCTGGGTGCTTTTGCCAGTGGAGACCTATGAAGCCTTGGCGGCAGGAAGGTACACGCAGCCTCCCAGGGTCATGATACAGTATGTGGCATGCATATTGACTTGCTGCAACCCCTGAGTTGGCTGCTTTCTGCCCTCGTTTACCTTTGGACTGACAGCTTTGTTTCTCTCCGCCATCTGTGCTTGGTGCTGGCCTCTCTGTCTGTCGGATAGCACAGGTCCTGCCTCTGCCACCTGTGAGGACGACGGAGCATCCTCTGGCTGTCTGATGATTGCCAGTGGCTGCAGGGCAGCCTTGCTCGCAGCCTCTTCCTTGGCTCCCACCTCCTCCTTCCCTGCTGCTGGCTCCATTTGCCTGTCAAAATACATCTCTTTCAAAGAGAAGTGCATGTCGCCATTGATTTTAGTGTCCTGATTCACAGCTTTCCCAGGCTCTTTGATTTTTAGACTGTTTTCCACTTCTTGATCATCTGACCCCCTCAAATGTGTGTTCTTGCGTAAGGGGACAGGAGGGGCAAACCTTGGATTTAGAGAGGGGTTGGCCCTGTCTCGTGCACTTTCTTCTCGCTTGGAAACTTCCTGCTTTGCTGCTGGAGGAGCCTCCACTTTCTTTTTCTTTTTAGCAGCAGAGTCTTTTGCTACTGGCTTAGTCGTGAGGTCCTCCACCGTCTCATAGATATATGTGAGAAAGCCATTCCCATTATCCTCCACACTTTCCAAAGAGGCATCTCCATTGGTGGTCACCTCTGCTTTCAACGGCGCGATCAGTTTGTTTGGAAAGCCCGTCATCACCTTTACTGGCTGCTCCTTTGGTTCAGCAATATCCTTGTGTAATATGGACTGAGAGTCAGCAACATGAACTTTTGCTGCATCCTCTTTCTCCCATAGAGAGGCTCCTGACTGGAGATTCACATCCCTGACCAGCCTCCGCTTTCTCTGGAGCCGATCGGGACTCATTCCCTGCAACCTCTCCACCTCCACATTCTCTTTCACTCGCTTCTTGCCCTGTTCTATCTCTCGCAGCTTTTCTTCAGCTTTTCTCTTAATTTTGGCAAACCACTTCTGATGGATTTTGAACTCCGTCATGGTTCCCACTTCCAGCACACCAGAGCAGGACACAATGCCTTTGTTATTTCTAGCTGAGGCCTGGTAAATGCCTGCATCTTCTTCTTGGCACCTGGAAACCAAAAGCTCTGTGTGAGACCTGCCCACCCTCCCCAGGCACTACGGCTGGACACACAGGCATGCACGTTCTCCCACTTCTTGCTCCAAGAGGGCCAGAAAATGAAGACATGGCCCTTGAGGTGACTACAGTAGGTCTGGAGGCCTGGGGCTAGCCTCCCTCCCAGGGCTCTGCCTGTTCTCAGCACTAGCAGATAAGCAAGTTGGATGTTAAATCAGTGTCCAGTTCCCCCCTGGGCTTTAATACTGATAAGAGAGGGCTGTGATGGAGGAGGAACAGCTAGCACCAGGCTTCCCAACTGTTCTTGCCCACGTTCTTCTGCAAGATGTTCTCCTCTCAGCTCTTTACAGCCTACATGACATTTCTGTTCTTCCTCCACCCTATTGCCTTACCAAATCCTTCCCATCCCACTTCACAGGCACCAGCACTAGCACAAGCACATGCACATGCACGCCATCCCTGCTGTCACCTCCCAGAGATGTGTGGCCCATGGAGATCCCTGCTCCTGCAAGAGGTGGTCCAGCCTTTGACAAGAAACTGGAACACACCTGGGGCAGCAGAAAAGCCCAGGCTAGAAGCATGATGACAGGACTATCAGTACTGATATTCTACACTTTCAGACAGTGAAAGTGCAAAATATGTCTGACATCCCAAATCCAGGACTTACGGTGAGACAGATCTCTGCTTGCTGGGGAGACAGTGTGCCTGGCTCTCCAGAGACACAGTCCTCTTTTAAAGTTAAAAGAAGCTGGTAGTCAGGGATAAATTAAAGAGGCCCTTGGCTCCATCAGTCCAGTGTCAAAGTAGCCCTTTCCTTCCTGACTTCATGGTGAGAGCTAAGAAAAAACCCTTCTAGGACAGGGCTGCAGCCCTTTTCCCTCTTTGCCATTGCTCAGGACACTCCTATGAACTGCTTCTGTCCTTGTCCCACCTGATCTCCTGGACTGTCATTCTGGAGGTAGCCAGTGCATTCCCTTCACTCACCTTCAACCAGCCCTAATGTTCAGCTCCTGTCTGGTACAACCATAGCACACGCTGCTACCAGCACTGGAAGGCTCCACAGAGAGGAATTTCTTATGGCAGCTATCCCTGGATGCAGTAATGGATCTCATACTGATGTGACTGGAGAGTCATCAGAGTGAAGAGCTGAAGGGGAAGGGACAGCCAGGAACATCGCAATGGGGAGCAGGAGGGGCCAGCATGGGTGCTGAGGGAAGATCACTGCCAACAGCCTGCTCCTCCAAGTACTGAAAACATGCTCAGAGCTCCCATCACCAAATCCAACCACTCTCCAGCTTCCTTACTCACTTGTACAGCTGCAAGGTGTGGCGATTTCCATGACGGAATATCTGATACTTGGGTAAGCCACAATAGCGGTCCATCTCTTCATCATCCTTATACCACGTCACCTCCGGCTGCGGGTATCCTGGGGAGGAGATGGATGGAACATCAGTCAGGGTATGAAACATTGCACCCAGTGGCCCAGCAAGCCTCCTTGTGTGGGGACAACGTATCAACAGCAACACGAAATGCTCCATCAGAATAGGATATGTGTTACTCTAGGCTTACAGCATACTTTAAATCACAAAGCAGAAAAAGCATTGTGAGTGGAAACCTGATGGGCTTATCCAAGTCTTTTATCACTCCTAGGAATAGGGCTATTTTTGAGAAAAAAATCCTAGCACTTCATTCCTGAACAGAGGGGAGTGGATCACACTATCATCTCTTGTAACCCTGGCTGGGAGGAGAAGGTGAGCACACTGTCACTCTTATATGAAGAGGCTTGTTTTGATAAGACTAAGGCTAAGGTTAGAAAACAGGGATTCATCTCTCCATGGAGCTCACAGCATTTTGCTAAGTGTCACAGCCTGTAAGCTGATCCAGAAGTTTCCATTGAACAGAAACAACCTTGATTGCATCACAGCCAGCTTGGTGTCCTACAAATGTCACTTGACAGCAGATGTCACCTGCCTTTTCAGGAGAATGACATCATGATGTGTGTGACTGGCTGGCTAGCAGGCTAGGCATGCAGCCATGGTCCCTGCCACCAACAGCGGTGGTGGGTTAGCATGAGTGCCCCACTCATGGACCAGTGCTAGCCACAGCCCTCACCTCCCACTGGCAGCAGCTCTAGCTCAGAGTAAAAGCAGTTTTCAGGGGAAAACTACTGGAACCAGTGGCCAGCATTGGTTCCCATACTTTACACAGGGTTCCCAGCCCAGCCAAGCTGGCCTTAAGGGCATGGGATAAAAGTTTCAATGATCACTTAAGTCGATGCACTCGACAGTTGTTCAAAGCCCCAAGGTAGATATCTGAAACTTATCTCCTGAAAACACCTCTGCTGGCTTTCTGTGCTGCCCAAAAGGAGTCCAGTACGCTGCTCACCTCCACTAGTCCCCAAGGGTGTACCCACCAGCCCCTGATACCACTGAATGCAGCAGGGGGTCAGCTCTCACAGACAGCCCCAGCATAGAGCTAGCAAGGGCTCTCCAGGAATATCCAATGCATCCAGACTTGATGGCTCTGAAGGAGAGAAAAGGCAGGGTGAGGGCAATACCTACCTATTCTGGATACTTTCCAGCTGAAACCCCACAGGTTTCAGGGCTGATCATTACCCTTTTCATCTCCAAGGTGAGGTACCTGCATCAGCCAGAGATGCTGTCAGCCTGTAGCAATGCCTAAGCCCAGCTTACACCTGCTCCCATGAAGGACCCATAGCAGGAGTGAGACCAGGAGCAAAGACTCACCAGAAGGAATCCACCCTGGTTTTGGCAGATTCAAAATGCGGTTAACCAGCAAATCTCCTCCTCATGTATTGCTTGGCTTTCCCTGCCCCAATCTCCTCTTCTGATACATTCCCTGTACCCATCTCTTACTTGCTGGGGCTCTCCAGTGTCCTCTGGCCCCTCAAGGGACTAAGCTTACTGGAACTAGAGAGGGTTGGGGAAGCAGTCTTAGACAGCAGTCTTTCTCCTCCATGAACAGCAGCCATCCCCATAGCCCAGACAACCCGCAGGCTAGATTTTACTCTATTATCTTCCTGTCCTCACTGAGGTCTCTTACTCTGCACTGCTCCTGGAATCCACCCTCTCCATCCTCACTGCCTGTACATCTCTCGCATCCTTTGCTGCCTCACTCCCTTTCCACTGCTGCCATCAGAAGCTTTGGCTTTCTGCTGGTTAGCCCCGCGTTCCTCCTCTTCTGCAGGAAGCCAAGTCATGACTTTCTCCTGAAGCCCTTCCTGCAAGGCTCTCCATCCTCCTCTTCAGTCCCTGACCCACCATGGTCTGCACATCCACATGATACTTGTGGCTGAAGCAAATTAGCTCTGAACTGCCAACTGGTAGAGGCCATGAGAGCATCCCAGTGATCGGATCACCAGGGATTGACACTGCTGCTTATATTTTCCGTAAGTATTAGCTACTGACTGGACTCGGTGGCAGGACCCTGGGCTGAATGAGCCTGTGGCAGTTTCTGTCTGCTCCAAGGATAAGGAACAAAACAATTTTCATACACAGCTCATACTTTGCCCAGAGCAATTCTACCCTTGCCAATGGCTGTTCTGCAGGCAAGAGCTGCAGGAGCCCCTGGTTTGTAACACAGGCAGCTGTCAAGTAGATTTTTCTTTTCTGTAAAGAGCAATCACAGCACTTCATTCTGGGAACTGAAATGTATCATTTCCAAGAAGCTCTGTGATGTCCCCCCATGGCCTCTGCAGCTGATTCCCATTCCCAGCTGACATCTGCTGGAAAGAGCTGCAGTTTCTATAGCTGCACAGTGCCTTGATGAAAGGCTTTTCCTCCTGCTAAGCCTAAACTCCATTTGACCTGTAGCACTTGTGTCCTTGAGGATATCTGCTCCCTACCAGGGGCTATCACCATACCAGCCCGGTGCAGGCAAGGAGGGACTAGCCCCTGATGCACGCTCCAGTCTGCGGTGAAACGGAGCTACAGCAAGTGCTGGCTGGAAACCTGCAGGCAGAGGGATGCTGAAAGGCTTCCACCTCCCACACAGAAACTGTGGCCACAGCTGCCTGTTCAAACACCAGCCATCCCTCCCCAGGGGCTGCAGCTGGAGCCAAGCAGAGGATGGAGAGATGCCTGTGCAGGGACAAGGCCCCCTTGCATGCCCTGTGCTCCACTGACAGGGAAGCTGCTGCTGACAGTGCAGGCATCCATCTTCAGGCTGCTGAGCAAATAAATTCCCCTGGTCTGGGGGTTAGGGGTGGGCAGGCATCACTCCCAGCACATCCCCTGCAACTACAACGTCCACATCCAACTGCCACAACAGGGATGGCACAAGTGGGACAGCATGGCTGAGCTGAGGGCTCCATTGGTGGGCACTGCCATGCTGCAGGGTGCTGGATGCCCACCCTTAGCATAAACAAGCTGCAAAACAGAGCAGCCATTCATAAATCAGGCATTCGCCCCTCCGGAACCTGTCCCTGCTGCAGACCCCCTGCAACTGGTGCCGAGGGGGATTTGAGAGCAGCTGGTCCCTGTGTCCACCAGCGGGTGCCCTGCAGCTGCAGACAGAGCGGTGCCTGCAGAGAGTGCTGGTGTCCACCGCACATCATTGAGCCCAACAGAAGTGTTTGTCAGAAGTGTGTCTTCCAGCAGCATTACTCCAACCACTGCAGGACCCAGGGAGGTATTTTATACCCCATCAAGATTGCCAAGTTTAGATCAAACATTCTTTTTCCCAAAGCTGTTAAAGTCTGAGAAGTCTTCAAAGCTTTGGTGACCTTATCCAAAATAGTTCTTGCAATAGCTATCCAAAATCTCCCACGAAAACTCTGTTTAAAGCAACTTTGGGGTTTATTTTGTTTTAGTTTTTGGGGGCAGGGGTGGGGAGGAGTTAGTTTTCTGAAACTTGGGAAGGTGAAAAGAGTTTAGAGCACTTACACATAATTCCCATGGGTTTCTGTTTCTCCTCTACACAAGCTATGTGGAGGGGGGGTGCTTCAGGCAATTTTGGGAGGAAAAGTCATGGTAAGATGTCATCCTTTCTGGCTTTATGGATTTGAACCTCCCCATTACCTGAAGATAAGGAGGTTTCCAGTAATGCTGACAGGGTGGACAGATATGTGCTAGGAGTGGTAGTTCCCCATGCCACCAGCCTGCAAATGGTGCTCATTCTCCATCCCTCTTGCCCTACTGTCCCAAACCCAGGCATCCTCATCTCCTACCAGCCTCCTCTCTGCTCTTATACTCATGACCCCATCCCCAAACCCACCCATCCACCCTTTCTGCAGCCCATGCATTTCTCTTCACTCTTGTCCCTCAGACATTTCACTACAAGGCCCACCATAGATGCAACAAATTGAGCTCTTTTATGCTTATTAAAATCCTCATCCACTAAGCCCATAGCAGTCATGTTACTCATGTTACCCCCAGCTGTCTTCCCAAGCCATGGGCAGAGGCCTTTCCCCTCTGTAGCCCTACATCCTGGGTTCAGCTCTAGCAGTCATTTTTTCTCCTTCTTAGTAGCTGGGACAGTGCTGGTTTTGACCTTCAGCCTGGGAACAACGCTGATAACACCAATGTTTTTAGTTGTTGCTAAGTAATGTTTACTCTGACCAAGGACTTTCTCAGTCTCATGCTCTGCCAGGGAGGAGGGGAAGTCAGGAAGAAGCAGAGACAGGACACCTGACCCAAACTGGCCATAGGAGTACTCCACATCATGCCCAGTATAGAAGCTACGGGAGTTACTCCGAAGGCCCAGATCGCTGCTCGGGTCGGGCTGAGTATTGGTCGTTGGGTGGTGAGCAACTGTATCCTCTGCCCTGGTTACTCCTCTTATCATTATTATTGGTAGCAGTAGTGGTTTGTATTATACCTTAGTTACTGGACTGCTCTTATCTCAACCCATGGGAGTTACTTTCCTCCAATTCTCCTCCCCATCCCTCTGGGAAGGGGGTGAGGAAGAAGGTGGGGAGCGAGAGAGTGGCTGCGTGGTTCCAAGTTGCCAGCTGCGCTTGCACCATGACACCCTACAATAAAACCAGATTGCTTCTGGGCACGTTGCTTTGTTGCCATCCCCTCAGGGATGTGCTACTCAACCCGCTGCAGATGCTCATGCTGACTGAGCACCTGCATAGCATGGTAGAGATACCAGGCTGGACACCTCTTCAGCACAGCACTGACCCATGAAGGCAGCGATGGGACCATGCTCCTGAGCTGACGATTAGGTAGCCAGGTCAGAGGGGTTGAACTTGCCTAAGGAAGGGGGTTGGAACTAGATGATCTTTAAGGTCCCTTTCAACCCAAACCATTATATCATTCTATGAAATGGTGCTGGAGAGGCAGCTGTACAACAGCGGGCAATACTGGTTCTGATATACAATGGTCTTGCCTAGATCCAGTCATCATCTCTCTCAACTGGCCTCATTCCCTAACACGCACTCATGAGCCCAGGCCTCTTCATCCAAGCCCGCAGATTTCATCAGCCAGTATCCAACCTTCCTGTCCAATGTTATACAGAAATGACTGAAAAGTTGTAAAATTCCTGTAGTAGCACCTCCAACAAGGGCCATTCTCTGAAGAGAAAAGCCCAATATCCACTTACTGGGAAAGATCCGTGATGACTCTTGAGATCCTGAAGGCCAGACAGACCCATCAAGGAAAATATTTGGTGCAGAGAAGCAAGGTACACTCTGCTCTGTAAGAAACTGCACAGTAAAGGAAAGTGTTCTCATGCCTTTTTTCACATCTCTCAGAGAACAAAGGATGAACTAATTTTGTCTAAAAAAGAAAACATGTCATAATTGATGCCAGATTTGACCCAAAACAATCAAATCAGACATACTAGGGACAGCAGTAGCAGGTAGAAGTAGGCAACTGGAGGAAAGGAGGGTTTGTGCAACCACTCAAGAGCATTAGGTCTGCCTCTACCTGACGTGTTCTTTTTCTTGCCTGCACCACTAAGCACATTTTGGAGACTGGCTCTTCAAACACTTGCACCGTGCTGTCTTCCTAGGACAGTCCCTGTTATTGACACATGTGGGACCACCCTGTAACTCTCATTATTGATCAAGAAGCAGAAAAAAAAAATTAAAATGTTATTGTAGGTCACGTATCCATATTTGTGGTTTGAGAGTCAAAACAGGAGCAGCTGACAGTCTGCCCTTTCCCTCTTGCTCGTCTATGAACCAAAGTGTCCCTGGACTCCAGCCACAGTAGTGGAACTGAGCTCGTTCCATTCTGGTCACTGGCCAGGGATGCAACTGCCACTTCTTTTTTCCCCCATAATGTCCCCTTGAATGTAAACATCATGGCAGGGAGAGATAGCTGAACTACTCATCAGACTTTGCAGTTAGAGTTTGCTTTGCATCTCCTGCCTCTCACTCCCAAAGAGATCTTGAGCTCCTAAAATAGTCCACAGAGCCACATGCAAGAGATGACCATACAGCATAGGTGGTTCAGGATGCTTTTAAGGATGTTTCCATGAAGATTCCTAGGTTTGTAGGTTTATTAATTTAAGTGTATAAAGTCATCCCCCAGTCTAGTCTACCAGGTTACAAAATACTGCAATGGGCTATATGCTGAAGAGACTTATTTGGTACTTTGACTAGTAAATGACACTAGTATCAGGTTAAGTTTTCAACTTCATGTAATACACCAGGTTGTGCTACACAGCACCAGCAGGTCAACCAAAACTAGAAGACAGAATCCTACTCACCAAGAGCAATGATGGACTGCAGGAAGGGCTACAGACTGGACAGGGACCAGATCTGTCTCTAGATGTTGATACTTTGATTTTGGTACAAGCAGAGGAGGTTATTTTTTGGCAGCATGTCTCCTGCACAATATACAGTGAAATTTCTCTAGTTTTTCCAGGTAAGATGCTGGAAAGAACATGGACATTGCATTTACAAGGCCTCCTTCATAGGGCTGACTGTAATATCTCTTCCCCAGGGTAATCTGTACATGCTGGGCATTGCACATGCAGGGCATTTCCATCCAGCTAGTCTCATAGCGAACTAATGCTCAGCTGCATGAATCCACTTCACCTTGACAGAGTCTACATGGAGCTGATGATGTCATCTGGACTTTGGAAGAGATGAAGTTCGTTTAAAGGAACTGTCAACCTCAAGGTGCAGTTGTTGAAGACTTAAGCCAGTGAGAGAAGTCAAGACTAGACACTTTAAAAAGGGCAAGAAATCCTAAAAGGGAGAGCAATACCACTGCATGTCCTTGCTGTATGCAGTCATGCTCTGGGTCTGCAGCACTTCTACACTTTCAGGGAAAGGGAGATGGGAGATTTTTATCTGCTACTACTCAGAATTTCCTAACATATTTAAACATCACTCATTTTTTGACCTCTGACACTCATGGCTTACAGAATGGTGAGTTCCACGCTACAGCACAATATGTTAAGCTTTTGCTTTTAGAAAACTTGAATCGGGAAAACCCTTCTAATGAATCACCAAATGGCATGGTTTGGAGGCACCTTCCTGGCAGCCCACTTTTGCTCCAGAAGCAGGAAGTGGTCTGCTGAAGTTAACAATATAACAGTTGTACCCCTGCAAGCACAGAAAGTCAGACCTGCAAAACAAGTGAATCTGTAACAGAAGAGCCAAGAATTCAAAGCCAGCAGCTCTCAGGGGGACTCAGTCTGCTCTTCCTAGTGCACAGCTTATTTACAGCATGTTTCTAATGGCAAACTAGATTTCCTAAATCTTGCGAAAGTCTTGGTCCCTGTGGCTAAGAGGCTAACTGGAGACACCCTCCTCCTTCCAAAACTTACAGACTTGTTTAATGTCTCTCACTGAGTAACCTGTCAAAACAATTAACATGAGCAACACCAGGAAGGATCATAGAGTCATAATCCTACACAGTTGGTACAGACTACCAAAAAAAGAGAGTTTAGAGTCTCTATATTTAAAAGACAAAAACTCATCTGCAAAGGAGCTGCTTGCCTTTACACCAATGCCTGGCATGTCACATCACCATGCCTTAGTACCAGCCCTCTTTTTCAGTCTCTTTATCCTCCTGTACTGGCCTAACCCCTTCCTGCCCAAGGTGAGATATTAGTTTATTGTGCAGAAACCAGCTTTTATTTCAGCTATTGACAGATGCACAAGTTTACCACTGATGCAAACACAGCTGCAATCTAACCACTTACAGCTAGTATAGAGAGCCAGAGCTGGCTCCAGTATGATAGCCTTAGTCTTCCAAATTGCATATTCCTGAGTTACGGAGTCCAGGATTAGAGAAGCAGCAGAGATTAGGACAATAAAATGTAGCTGGCCCAAGCAGTAACCAGCATATTCCATTTTCTGGTCTTTAATTAGCCTTGTTTGAGATGTTAGAATATGCCTTTGCCTCTTTACAATCTCAGACGGTTTCCCCCCTCCCCCTTAAATTAAAGCTGAAATCATCATGCAATTGCTGAAATTGCAGTCTGGCAACAGCGAATTTTTTAACGTGTTGCCTTGTTGTCACTTGCTTTAGAATTTAACTAATACAAGTCCAGCAAATGAGTCAGGACCAGGTTATTCACAGGAGAGACTGTTACCTGTCACTATGCACGTGAATTTAGCATCAGAGTCCTTGGACACAGAACGGGATTTGATAGTGGTTTCAAATAGTGGCTGGGTTTCCTCCGTCAGCTGAGAAATGATTGCGCAGAAGGTGCTCCTGGAAGATTCAAGAAGTATTTCTTAGACATCAAAGTACTAGAAATATCAAAGGGTCCAGTTTCTAACTCATCTTAGAAGCCTAAGTTCTTGTTATGAAGGCCTTCCTTTCTTCCCATCATCCCTAGACCAGGTTGTTCACAAGTCCAGTCCAGTGTCAGGGTATTTGACCTTTGTTTCTCTCCCAAGATGACTGTTAATTTAAAGTGTTCCTTTGTCTTCACTCTTACAGCTATCAGGGTAATAAATGTCAAGAACCATTTGTCCCTATTACACCTGAACATTTCCTGCATCAGCAAGCAGGCCCAAAGCAAGACCCTAACGAAGTCAGCTTCACATTCCCAGTACTGCACCACCACTGTTTCAGGTGTTGCTCTCTTCACTGGACTTTATATGCGAAGAATTCATATGTAACTTCAGGCCAAGTGTCAACTGAACATGTCTCCCGAACACAACAGCCCTCTTCAAAAGCTTTGAATTAGGAAAAGCTGCCTGCTGCAGGGACAGCATACTGAAGGAGACCTTGATCCTGGCTTGCAGCTTTCTGAGTCTGTATGTGAAGCTGACATCCATTCCCTCTAACCTCACTCAGCTGCAGGCAGGCACTCACACTACATACTTCACGAGTTCAGGCACTGACTTTGAAGTTCAGGCTGGGTCACTATAGCTGTAACTATCCAAACAGTGCAATCTATGAAGCTCAGAAAAGGACCTTATATTCTCCAGTCATTTAAGCACTATTCAATGATTGCAGTAAATCACCATACAGCACTGCCAACCCTTTGGAGCATCATCAAGAGAGGTCCCAGAAGATCTGGGCTTTCTTAAAGGAAAATGGGATAATTCCAAGTTGGGTCTTCATTTGGATAGTGCTCTGGGGCTCTTGGAAGGGAACAGCTTCTTTCATTTTCTCCTCTGGAATTAAACCACTACATGTTTACACTAGGAGAGAGGACCCCAAGGTCTCAAGTGCAAGAATCTTAGAAGAAACAGCAAATATTGCAAGAGAACTGGTAGCTGGCAGCTCTAATTATAGCATTTTCAGCAGTGAAAGACATTCCTTAAACAAGTGATCAGCTTCTAGAGACATGCAAGAGAGAGAACAAACCCACAAATCATTCCTGACACAGCTCCACCATGAGCAGAAGAGTTCATAGCACATGGTGATAGCTCCACGAGGAAGACCCCGGCCTCACAAGCAGCCCCCGGCTTGCAGGCAGGATGCTGGTGCTGCTGCTACTCATGCTCTACCTGCTGAGGAAGCAGACTTGTTCAGGAAGAACAAAAATCCCCACCATGTTTAGCATGAACCCAGCAAGGTCAGGTGCACTGACAGGCTCTGCGGCAGGGACTGAAGGTGCCAGGATAGCTCCAGCCACAGCAACTGCCTGTTTCACCCATCCAAAAACTTACCTGGAGGCTGCAGTGCTATCATTTTCACTCTGGCTTCCTGATAGAATAGGTTTGTAAGAAACACAGGGAGATGAATCTCTCAGTAACAAACAGCTGGGATGCAGCGGGAACCTCGCCCAACTCCCAGGCGCTATGTGCTGGGCAAGGGTACAGGACAGGGACAGCTAGGGCTGTTGTAAACTTGACTCATCTACTGAACAAGGGTTATAAGCTCTGTCTATATGCAAACAGGTGTGGGATGGGGTAAAAACCAGATTCCACAGCTCAGCCTCTTTTCTGTGGAAATCAGTGGTTCCCAGGAGTCTGGGGCAAGCAACTCTTCACACAGCTACAGGGCCAGGAAAGGGCTGTGGAAGCCAATGGCTATTCAAACCAAAGAAACCTTTCCATGCTCCAACCCCTGGAGAAAAAAACCTCCCATTTCCAAAGAGCAAGGCAGACAATCCAGTACCAAGGCAGTTACTGGTGAGATTTACTGGTCTGGTCTCTTCAACACAGATCCCCAGCCCTAGACCAGTAAATGCCTTCTAGATCCATATAAAGGAACTTTCCAAGCATCAATGAACATTTCATACACCAGCAGGAGAGCAACCGGATCAGCATCTTACAAAAAGTGATGTACACACACACACAGTGACACTCGTGACCAAGTTTAATCCCAGTACCATGCCACTGGTATCAGTAGGCAGTGCCAGGAATAAGTCTGGTCCATTCAGTGCAAATCCCACAATCAGGTGAAATACAGCAAAGGCTACTGAATGCTTTAGGAAAGCAGCATCACCAGAAGCTGGGGGCTCCACAGGCAGAGCAGATGAATCAGAGGAGATTTGCCCAATGTACACTTGGCAGGAAGCCCTGGAAAGTCTGTTTAATCTTTCAAAGAAACCCTTGAATTAGTCGAAGCGGGGGTTGGAGACTGCAGCATTGTGGGGCTCTCAGCTGACTCCCTCCAGCTGCAATGAGACTTGTCCAATTCAAATTGCTTTCTTAACCAATAATTCAAGAAATCTGACACAAACCAGCAGCGGCTCTTCCTCCAGGCCTTCCTGAAACTGCATCTTTATTGCAGAAAAGCCCTGGAGCCTTGGAAGAGGACACCAGCAATTCAGTAGAGGACAGTGGCAATTCAGTAGCCTTTTTACATTAAAGAGGGATTTCCATACAAAAGCAGTCTGCTGGAAAAGGAGATTTAAGAAGTGTATTCCTCTTCATTATTATTTTCTTTTCCTGACTTTTTGGTTAGCAGTCGAACAGCTACAGGGGTGTTTTGGAGAGGCATTTCCCTCCACAGTCATTCCTCTACCTGCTTCTGCAGCAAGGCAGTAATAGGATTTCCAAAAGTGTTATTTTGCCAAAGGCAAAGTACAACTGTACAAGTGCATTTCAGGGCACAGTCCAAATAAATGAGGATCTTCACAACAAGGTACAGGATGGCAGGGGGAGAAGAAAAATGCTTCTTTCCAAGTCTCAGGGCAGGCTCATCTAATTTTTAATGTCTCTGTATGGAAGTCTCACTTTAATATCAAGAAATAGCTGAGCACCCATCCTTTGGCTAAGAAAGAGGAATATTTCTTGCACCTTAGCACAGGAATTACAATGAACATTCACTTTGCTGTCTGCAGTTCAAGCAAGCATTAAGGATCCAATCATGCAGAATAAGGCTGTTAGATCACTTCAGGGCTCTCTACTAATTAGTTGGTACCAAAGCATTACAGATTAATCGTGTGAAGCCAGATTCAGTGTTGGTCAGAGCAGTTTAATGCAACATAGTTTTACCTTCCTAAACTGGAGGGAGAGAATCTGCTGCTTGATAAGCTAAGCAAAAAACAGCATAAAAAACATTAGATAGAGAAGCACGGAAAGGAGCTGAAATAAACAAACCGTTATAGAGATGATTAATGATGAGTCGTTTTGCACAGGTCAGAGTTCCTATTAAAAGAAGGTACAGCTGCCTCACTCAGGCTGACTGCCAGGATGAGCAAGCCACATTATCAATTGAAATCAAAGGCTGTAAAAATGAAATGGTCGTTAACTGCAGAGAATAAGTGTAAAACATTTATACAAGTGGGTTTCCAAGAAGCAGCACCTGAGCCTTCCATGCACTATCTGCAGCATTGTGCTCAAAGCAGCAACTCCACCCCAGGAGATGTTGGATTAAAGGGCAGGCAGGAGTACAGACCGTTGCAAGCCCACTTCTCTGCTGGCAAGCAGGTGACCTAAGTTGGTTACATTCTGCGCTTCCAAGGACAACTCTTTGGAGAAGCTGAAAACTCTCTGGTCATTATACAGCGCTTCCCAGCTTGCCAAACAAATCACTAAGGTCTGGCAAAAAATAAAAAAAAGAAATAGACTTTACAAGAATCTACAGGTTTTGCTTTCTTTGCAGGAACATACTAACAAGTTACAACATTACAACATTAATCAACCCGCGGGAGGGGGTGAGGGGAATCAAACACCCAAGTCCTACACAAGGGACACCCAGATGAGCTACTTACCAGTGGCCACCAGCTCTCCCAAAGAAGTGTCTTCAAGGACTCATGTCCTAGCCAAAAGGCCAAATTGCCATTTTGTGGCAGCAGCCCTCTGCAGGCTGGTAGGAAATAACCTCTTGGCATTGACCCACAGCAGTCAGATGCAGTTCCCTCAGGTCACCCACAGGACAATCAAAAGCCTAAAACTAACTAGGTACCAGCTATTAAGCAGCACATAAGCTCAGTGATTTAATCACACTGAGATATATGTTAGTTATGCCTATGCAACAACCTCACCATATAGCCTCAGAAGCAACTGCAGCATGGACATCCCCTTTGAAATGTAAGAAGTCAGACTCCCATATTGGTACATGCAGACGGATCAAACCTCAGTCTTGTGCACTAATGACCACCACTGAACAACCAAACTTCAGTGCTTTATGATGAAGTAACAGAAGACAGCATGAAGAACCAACAAAGGTGCACCTCTTCAGGTCTCCTACCCAAATGATCACATCTGGGTTCTGTGCCAGTCCCAATAGCATGGAAGTCAAGTCTTACTCTAAAAATTACCACAGAGGGTCTCTTAAAAGTGTTCCTGCCAACCATATGGCACTTCCACCTGTGGAGACAGAACCTGAATGGCATTAATAAGTAAAAAAGCAGTTCATCTTGAAGGTCTGACACTTTATACAAATAATTGGGAAAAAACCCAGCATTCTGAAGAGCTCACTGACTCCTCTCCTTCAGATCAGGAGAGCAAAGAAGTTTTAGACAGCGCTCAGGAGTAGGTTTAACCAAACAAACATGGGTGGCACTTGCCCTTTTGGCAGTGGCTTCACCCTCTCCACCCTAGCTGCATGATCCTGATCCCTCTCCTGTGCCAACTGCTGTTCACATGGCCAAAGGATGAACAGATCAGGTGTTATCCAGCTGGAAAAATCAAACACTAACCATAACAGGCTGAGGATCAGCCACCTGATCCATCTTGTATGCACTGGGCTGGCCCATGGGAGAAATCAGACAGAGGAACTTTGTCTTTCTAGTTGAGCCCCACCACCTGAGGCATCCTTTTGAGCCCCATGTCCTTTCCAGCAGTGCAAGGAATGCCTTTGCATTACCTTACTGACCAGCACGTCACCTTGTCCTCATCACTCCCAGCCACCGTAACAGATTAGAGAGCTCAAATTGTACCTCGAGCTGCTCTTGGCCTGCCCTGATGTCCCAGGGGAATCAAGCTGCCTCCTCCCCAAAACCCTCCCAGGCAGAGCCATCGCAGGTGACCTCGGGCCAGCAGCACCCATGTGCTGGGTGCATGTGCTCTGGGCTGCCCCAGGCAGCTCTGACTAGCTGGAAAGATAACTCATGCGCTTCCATTGTCTGAACCACCAGCTTTTCAACAGTAAATGAACCATCAACATTTTGCATACCACTGCAAGAGAAAAATGTCCTTCCAGCTTCCAGAAATACTATGGACATGGGCATCACCTGAGAAGCCATCATGGAAGATCCTAAAATGCTGCTGAAGAATGCTAATGTAGGCAGAAGTTGTTTTAATCTTGCTTTCTTGCCTAAGACAAATGAGAAGGTGTTTCGGCTTGGCCATAAAGAAAATCACTCAAATAGCAAGAGTCAGAGTCAGGGTGCCATGAACCCCTTGTGCCGATAAATGTGCTCAAACAGGGGGCATCATCAGTACTTCTTTTTAATCCCATGTTGAGCACACAGCCTGGGCTTTATTCACTGCACATCCTGAAACGCGGTCTGAGGGTCTCTTGAGGATGCTTGATATTATCAAAAGAAAAAGGGCATCAACACAAAAATCCATGCATTAACTAAAGTTTAACCTCAATATGCTAAGGAACCAAGCAGAATTTGCTTTTCAGTCTAGTGATATAAGCACAGAGAGAGCAAGATCGAATTCTGAATGCCAGAACAGCCCTGTCTGCAGGCAGCTGGTGTTTCCCTTCATTTTAATGACATTCACAGCGTACTCGCACAGAGCTGCAACAGCATAACTACACCAGGCTCCAAACCAAACCTACTTGCTTGGAAATGTGGGACTCCCAAGCAAGGCATGACAGACACCCCAGCATGCCTAGTCTGATACTCTGGGACTGGGCTGTCTGTGTCCTCAGCTCCACAGAGATTTGTTAGTGCACACAATACAGGACTCTGCTTATGAAATGCAGCATCAGCAGTGGATGTGTCTCCCCTGAACAAGCTTGGGGACATCCTAGTTACTAGATGAAGGCAAATGCTTATCCTGAGGAACACTTCTAAAGTGGATGAATCAAAGTCTAAAGGTACTGGTTTCTCCCTATTGGAGACGAGGAGCTCAGACAGATGTGCTCCAGGCATGTCCAGCATCAGTGGGAGGAAAGCCTCTTCTGGCACCTTCCATCTACAAACTGAAGCACAGCTACCCCTGAAAGTACAGGTTTGGTTATTAACCACTGTAGCACTGTACCGTAGAATTATACCCCTCTACTATGTACCTCCTACCAGCCTCAGTTCTCTAAATTCTGTTTTATCAGATACTTTCAAACTCTTCCAGAATTTTATCATGCTCTTAAAAGTTTTAGCCCTTCAACTACTCATAATTTTGCTCAGAAGTGAAGACAGTCTTCCCCAGCACCAAATTTCAGTCTTGCTGCACCAGCAGGAGGACAAACCATCACCACCACCCACTAAAAGTACTGCTCAGGTTGATGGCCTAGGCTGGTACATCTCCCCACTGGCACTGAAAAGTTAACTGTTTGAAAAACATAGATTTTAAATCTGGTGCCTTTTCTAACCCTTCCACGCAATTGCTGCTTGAAATTTTGTATTTCTTCTCTCCGAGATAAAGAAATCTTTCTCCTTCCAGCTCATGTCCTCATATGGAAGTTGACAAGAGCTCAGGAGACTCTGAAATAGGCTTCACAGTTGTTCCATCCTCACACATAGAAGTACAGGGACCTGTACTTGCAGCTTGAGCTGCAACTATCATTAATATATTTCAGTGTTCTTCCACAGCACAAAAATTGAGCCACACAAGCTGTCCAGTGCAGCAAGTAAACACCAAAATATGTCACAACAGCAAAGCTGAGAATCTGAGTTATGTTTCATTGCACAAAAGCTCCTCAGAAGAGCCCAATGAGAACTGGCAGCCCTTCCATCCCGGGAGCAGCACAGAGGGATGCCCAGGCAATCCCCTGCAGATTCTCCCTCTTGCTGGCACTCTCACCTGTGACATTATTGGGCATGTTTTGCACATGCAGATTTCCAAGCATAAGATTTCATATGAACTTCTCTGCCTCCAAGGTTAATACTACTTGAAACAAATACAAAGCACCCCAAACATCTTCTCAGATGTCAATAGCAAATGATTTTCAACATTTAAAAGCCAACAACAAAGCTTTCACGTACATACCGTTATGCTTCTTTCCTGCCATGTGTCCTGCTTCTTATCAAGCACTTCATGCACACTAAGAACAAGTGTGTTTGTGTTTCATACGCCATGACAGTAATTATCAGCAATCCTGTGATATAGCAGCTGTGAGTGCTATAGAGCTGTACAAGACACATTGTTATTTTACAGACTGGAAAAGGGATGTATTGAGTCTTTGCTTGTCAAGGTCACGAAACGAATCAATGTTGGAGCTGGAGAAATGTGGCATCTTTTCTGCAGGTAATTTACTTTGAGCAGAGATAAACACAGACTTGCATGTAACAATTTAGAGCTAGATGTCATTAACAGAGAAGGTTGAAAACAATAAATTAAGTTACATGTTTCTGTATCAGCTTCCGTAACACTCTGAAGATGGCCCAGATCTGTGTATTTTAATTCTGAATTATTGTTGCCTTTATGATCCAAATTAAACTGGTAACTAGTTGAAAGACATCAAGAAATGAAAAAGGATAAAAGAAAGCAAAGCAAATACTGGGCAATGAGATGCCTAGGAAAGTTAACATCTTCCTGGTAACTCATTGTGCGTAGATTTTTGTAGCTGTGGGTTAGAAAAGCAGCAAGGTGAAAATACAGTTGTTCATAACAGTTCTGCCTTTCTCTTCTTGGGCCAGGTGATGCTGTAAAGTGTGAGACTGAGTTGGTATGAGATAATAGCCTCATTTACCTGAGATCTTTCTCCTCTTGCTGAAACAGAGTGAGGATAGAGCAGGTCTTCATTCCATCTCCTGGAAACAGCCTCTGCTGTGGAACAAGAGGTGCCCAGTTCAGAGAAGATCATGATCTCCCGTCCATGCAATCAGATGGGATCCCAGGCCTGGGAAATGTCTCCATTTACGAAGTTTCCAGAGAAGAGCAAAGGTTACACATGTGATATATTCTGTATTTTAACA